CGCATAAGCCAACACTATACTGAATGTCTGGACGACTAGCAGTTAGGTAGAGAAGGGATCCAATCATCCCTCTATACTTCTTTTCACAGAAAGAGATTCCAGATTCATCCTTATCTAGTTTAAGATTAGTTGCCATGGGAGTAGGACTAGCATTTATCGAATTCAAACCATATTTTCTAAGCATTGTCTCAATATATTTTGTTTGACTTATAAACATACCTGATTTGGTTTGCTTGATTTGTAAACCAAGGAAATGAGAAAGCTCACCCATCATACTCATTTCGAATTCTGATTTCATAGACTCACAGAAACTTGAACACATTGTGGGATTAGTGTATCCAAACACAATATCATCAACATATATTTGTACTATTAATGTGTCTGTTTTTTCCCTTTTTATGAATAATGTTTTGTCAACATTTCCTTGTACAAACCCCTTGCTAATTAAGAAAGCAGATAGCTTATCAAACCAAGCTCTAGGAGCTTGTTTTAATCCATATAGTGCCTTAGATAGCTTGTAGACATGATCTGGGAATTCATGATTAACAAAACCTGGTGGTTGACTTACATACACTTCTTCTTTGATTTCACCGTTTAAAAATGCGCTTTTAACATCCATTTGAAATAGGGGTATCTTCATATAGCATGCATATGCACATAAAAGCCTAATAGATTCAATTCTTGCTACAGGGGCGAAAGATTCTTCAAAATCAATCCCTTCTTCCTGGCTAAAACCTTGTGCAACAAGTCTTGCCTTATTCTTTGTTATATATCCTTCTTCATCAGTTTTATTTCTAAAGACCCATCTTGTTCCTATTATTAATTGGTCTATAGGTCTTGGAACTAGTTCCCAAACTCTTAACCTAGCAAACTGTAATAGTTCTTCTTGCATAGCATTCACCCATTCATCATCAGTTAAGGCTTCTTTGTGGTTTCTAGGTTCAAGTAAAGAAATAAACGCATACTGACCTGGATGATACTTACCTCTAGTGTGTATTCCATCATTGAGATCACCAATGATCTGGGATGGTGGATGTCTTTTCTGTATGTGTACAGGAGCATTTCTCTTGTTCTCTTCGTCCAGTTCATCTTTTGGTCCTTCTTTGTGAAGATCCTGTTCCTTTCTTGAATGATCATCTTCTTGCTTAAGTTCACCTTCCTTGTTTGCTATTGGAAATAAGAGATCTATATTTTCTGCAGCAACTTTGTTAGCGCACATAGATTCATCAAACTTAACAAACACTGATTCTTCAACTCGTTTTGTTCTCAGATTGTATACTCTGTAGGCTTGACCTTTTGCTGAATATCCAAGAAAAATAGCAACATCTGATTTTGCATCAAACTTGTACAAATGATCCTTTGTGTTCAAGATATAGCATTTGCAACCAAACGGATGAAAATACCCTAGGTTAGGAGTTTTTTGTTTCAAAATCTCATAGGGAGTCTTTTCTATGGTTTTTCTGATTAGTACCCTATTGATAACATATACTGCAGTCATTACAGCTTCCCCCCAGAGAAATTTTGGTGAATTATACTCTAAGAGCATAGTCCTTGCCATCTCAATAATAGTTCTATTCTTTTTTTCTACGACTCCATTTTGCTGGGGAGTTCTAGGTGCAGAAAATGTGTGATTTATTCCCTTATCATTGCAAAGATCACTAAACTGATCAGATATAAATTCTCCACCGTTGTCACTCCTAATGGATCTTATTCCATTTTTAGATTCATTCAGTACAGAGTGCACAAATACTTTGAATTTTGTAAAAGCTTCATCTTTTGAAGCAAGCAGATATACCCATGTAAACCTAGAAAAATCATCAACTAACACAAATGCATATGATTTTCCTCCAAGACTTTCCACATTTGTAGGTCCAAATAGGTCCATATGTATTAGTTCATATGCCTGAGTGGTGGTAACATCCCTTTTTGACTTAAAACTCTTTTTGGCTAGCTTTCCACTAACACATGCATCGCAAAAGAATTTAGAGTTGTCTTTTAGTCTAGGTATACCTCTGGCAGATTTTGTTTTAGAGAGTTTTGAAAGTTTTGAAAGGCACACATGTCCTAACTTTCTATGCCACAGCATTTCTAGGTCAAGAGAAACAGCCTGAAAACAGGTTTCATAGAAAGCTTCCAAACACTTCATGTTTACCACATACATGTTGTTTTTCTTAGTTCCACTGAACAATACTTTGTTATCATTAATCCTAATAATTTCACAAGAATCAGCTTCAAATATTACTCTATTTTCAGCACAACACAGTTGACTAATGGAGAGAAGGTTATGCTTCAGACCTTTAACAAACAACACATTATTCACAACAGGAAATGGACTCTTACCAATAGTACCAGTTCCCATGATTATTCCTACTCTATCATCACCAAACACTACTTTACCTCCTTTCTTATAAGTAAGAGAAGAGAATAAGTCTTGTCTACCTGTCATGTGGTGGGAGCAACCACTATCCAAAAACCAAATGTTCTCATTTTCTCCCTGTTTCTGCAGTCAATTAAACATTAGTGCATTTTGGTACCCAAAATGATTTATACACAGGAGGTTTCCTTAAATCATAGCAGTAATTGGCTAAATGACCTTGTCTTTTACAATAAGAACAGGTATATATGGTGGGGTACTTTCTGACTGTTCTAGTCTCAAAGTGCTTTCTTTGAGATCTAAATTCCCTTTTGAGATCAGTTTTGATACTTTTCTCATTGTTTCTTACACTGTATCTATCAGTTGTTTTCTTGCATAATGTACTGAGCTTTTGATTTTTATCAGTTAGGTCAAAAATCTGCTTATTAAGTTTAGCCTGACACTCATCTTGAAACTTAATCGTTCTCTTGAGATTATTTATTTCCTGCTTCATTGCCTGATTTTCTGTCATAAGCATACAGTATCTACTTTTAAGCCTGTTGCATTCTTCTTGTAAATTTCTTAAAGCATGCAGAAATTCAACTTTTGACATGGGATGACTACTTCTTTCAGAGTCACTATCATTTATTACCTGATAGCTTGTTGGAAAAGACTGATCACAGCTGGAAGAGTCTGAATCAGCTTCTCTTTTTGAGGCAAATGCCATATAGGCCAAGTTTTTTACTTCCTCCTCTTCTTCCGAACTGTAGTCACTCCATGATGCTGCGAGCGCCTTCTCCTTTGCTTTGTTTAGTGGACATCTAGATCGCATATGACCTGTCTTACCACACTTGTAGCAGATTGTTAGCTCTTTATCAACAGGAGACCTCTGGTCTCCTTTATACCTTTCCCTTCCTTCTGAATTTTTGTCGGCAAACATTTGATTGTGCCTTTCAGATATATTCTTATTCATAAGCCCTTTATCAGTATGTTTAGAAACAGGTTTCTCTTCCCTATCTCGTCTATAATCTGAGTGTCTGTTTTTTGGGTTTCGAAAGTCATTATAAGCTCTATTAGCTTGGAACTCCCTTTTTAGTCTCAACATCCTGTGAAATTTTCTACTAACCAATGCAAATTCTCTTTCAAATTCTTCACTAATATCATATTCAAAGTCACTTTCATATTCTTGAGCTTTAAAAGCAATCACCTTTTTCTTCTTATTATCTTCCTTATTCATCTGAGTGATTACTTCTTCATGGCTTAGCAGGGATCCTACCAGCCTCTCAATAGACAGAGTATTTAGATCTTTTGCTTCTTCTATAGCTGTTCTTTTAGGAAGCCATTCTCTAGGAAGGCTTCTTAGAATTTTTCTAACTAGGTCTTTTGTAGCAAAAGTCTTTCCTAGCCCTTTCAACCTATTTATCAGATCATTGAATCTTTTATACATACTAGAGATAGATTCTCCTGAATTCATTTCAAAGGATTCATATTCATTTAATAAAACATCAATTCGACTTTCCTTTACCTCAGATGTACCTTCATGAGTTGTTTGCAATGACTCCCAAATTTCTTTGGCAGTTTCACATTGTGCAACCTGATTTCTTTCTTCAGGTGATAATGCTGAGAATAGCAGATGCATCGCCCTTAAGTCGAGCTGAGAGGAAATCTTCTGCTCATCTTCCCACTTTTCTTCATCATCATCATCCATAGGAATAGGCCCCTTTCGAACGATGCTCCATAAGTTACCATCAACTCCCCTTAAGTAAATCTTCATCCTCTTTTTCCAAACTGAGTAATCAGTTCCATCAAACCATGGAGGGTTTGTGTTTGCTGAATAAGATGCAGGTGCTGATGATGAACCAGTCATCTTACTGATCTTCTTTGGCGATAGTTAATCCAACAAAGAACCTGCTCTGATACCAATTGTGAAATCAGAGTGTGAAACAAGAAATGTATTTTGTGAATACAATCACACTCGATAGAAACAGCCCTTTAGAAAAGGATACTATTATTTATTTTAGAAGAACTGAACACACATGAACAACAAGAGCCAAGCCAACGAATTGGCTCTTTGAACAAAAATCCAAACTTCCCAAGAACAGAACACCCAGTTCTACGACACTGTGCTTTGCTCTACTGAAGTAGACTACGGACCCAAAGCAACAGAAGACACTTCACTATGTTTCTATTGCAAACTGCCAAATCTGAATGAAAGAAAAGAGCTAACTATTTATACAAGAGAAGAAGTTAACTGTTAGCTAGAGATGATGATTACGACTGTGATCATCATTAGTCTTGTAGAGGCGGTGATGAACTATGTGAGGGATGCGAGCTTCGAGAGAAATGTCTTCGTCTTCCAGAGCACAGCGAGGGAGGAAAAGAAGATCGAGAGGCGAGCAGATCTGGATGATGGTCGGTTGTGGGAGAGAAACGTTGTTCCACGCTCAAAACGACAGAGGTTTGTATTTGTGAAGGCTTTGAAGGACGACGTCGTAAGTGATTAAGGAAGTGGCGTCGTTTTATCTACTTGAGCAGCACGTCATATATCAACAAGAAAGACAAGAGAAGTCAGAGAAAAGAGCATTTTTTATTAGTCATCTTTATTCTTTTGGTTTCAAATAGTCTATAAGATGATGGGCCGTTTACTTGCCATTCTATTTCTGTTAGCTGCCACAACAGAAAACAAAATCAAAATGAAAACGAAGCTGACCATTTCCTGGAAAACAAAACCTGAAAAAACCTTGTTTAGCTGAGAATTTTGGTGAGTTCTGAAACTGAGTTCTGAAAAGAAATCCTGTTTAGTTGCTTCATTTTGTTTTCTGATGCTTGATTATCATACAACCCTAGCCATGATTATAATTTTTAATTCGAATTAAATAGTTTTTAAACTAATAAACACAATACAAGTACAACATCTTATATTAATTAAGTACTAGTACAACATAAAATTCAAATAAGTCCAGCTTGAAAGTCATCCCACAACTTGTTTGCTATTCCATCTCGTCGTGCATCCATCGCTCGAGTTTGGCTTGAACTATGATTATATGCTTCTCGTTCTTGTCCTTCTTGCACTCCATTGGCATTCTCCCCCGTGCAATAATTTTGAGCACCTTCAAACAGAGTGTCGTCACCAGAGTGGATCCTAATAAAGTTATGTATAACACAACATGCAAGAACAATGTGTGCTTGTTTCTTGAGAGCGAAAGGAGGCATATGCTTCAAAATGGGAAATCTAGCCTTCAAAACTCCAAAACAACGCTCGATAACATTGCGTAGAGATGAATGATAATAGTTAAAAAGTTGTTTACGAGTCCTTGGTCCACCTCCACGATCGATATCTTGAAAATGACGTGCTTCTTTTGTCTTATATGGCGCTAGAAACCCAGGAATGTTTGCATATCCAGAATCAACAACATAATACTTACCTATAAGATATAAAATCAATTAGTCATATGATGGTTGCAGTAGAACAATGACCCTGTTTGCAAGTTTCACCACTGCTTTCAACACTAGATTAAAGTACTTTGAGATGGTTGCAGTAGAATGTTAAAACCGTTCTGCAAGGTCGCGGAAGTCATTTGCGTGACCTCCTGTTACAGAAGAGTAACTAATTCCCGTCTGGCTTATTAAGTCCTTGAATTCCCGGTGTTTCCTCCTCGTCAAATTAAATTTATTCTTCAACTGATCTGGGGCATAGTCCTTGTTGAACTTTATCTTCAACCCATTTACAATGTTGGACCATCCCAATTTAGTGAAAGTTGTCGTATGTTTGTTCCCCTTCTTTACTTCCTCAAGCATCAAAGCAATAAAATACTCGACTACTTTATCAGGCCAAACCTCGGCTCCCTCAAGTATGACACAATCATTATTGTTTACGACATCAATATCAGCCATCGCTTATCACGCTACAATTCAATACGAAATAAGATATCACCAACAAATTGACATCAAACAAAACAAAAGAAGACATCATTTGAAATCAAAACAATAAAGCAACAAATCTGTCCATTGTTCACAAAACATTACCAAACCACTCCAATTCATCATCACAAGCAAGCATGGATTGGTCGCTGGCAAGGAGAGTAAGTACCTGGAATCGGCGGCTGGAGCTCTCTGTTGGAGGAATCGGCGGCTGGAATCGGCGGCTGGAATCGGCGCCGGCTGCTGCTTCTACTTCTTACGGGAGTGAGGGAGATGGCCGAAGTGGGCTGGCGGCGGGGCTGGAGGGGAGTGAGGGAGATGGCGGCGGTGGGCTGGCGGCGGGGCTGGAGGGGAGTGAGGGAGATGAGCGGTGGTGGGCTGGCGGCGGGGCTGGAAGGGAGTGAGGGAGATGAGCGGCGGGCTGGCGGCGGTGGGTTAGCGGCGGGGCTGGAGGGGAGTGAGGGAGATGAGCGGCGGTGGGCTGGCGGCGGGGCTGGAAGGGAGTGAGGGAGATGAGCGGCGGGGCTGGAGGGAGTGAGAGAGATGAGCGGAGGAAGTGGGCTGGAGGGAGAAGAGGAAGAGAGCGGCCGAGTTTTAGTCTCTAGGGTTGATTGAAGAGGGCAAAACGGCAGCGTAGGAAGCAGGAGGAAAAAGGTTAAAAAAAATAGCGCTGTGGTGAATCGAACGCGGGCCGATTGGAATGGATTAGTGCATTTTCCGCTAGGAAACGGGGCATAACCCGTGTCATTGATTTCGGAAAACAGGTATTAATCGTTTTCCCAAAGCTTTCCCATTTGTAATAATTGGGTTTTTTCATGGAAAATGGAATGGTCAAGTGAACACGTTTAAATGTTCTTTGTTTCCTAATTTTCATTTTTTAAACAGAAAACAGAAAATGAAATGGGAAGTGAACAGGGCATGAAATTTACAAATAAATAAAAAGAGAAACGTTAGGTAAAAAAATCAAGGACTAATACAAAATATTAAAAAATAATTGTGAGTAATGTCATTTGTATATTTAACACCATCGATGACGATAAGAATTTTTATAATGAGAAAATAGATGTTGGAACTTGGAAATTAGTGGAAACAATATTTTGTCTTTTTCAAAAACAACAAGAAGTTACCACTTTCTATTTTAAGAATTGAAAACGAAACAAAAATAAAATAAAAAGTAAACAGATTTTCTCATGCTAAATTTATAGAATGTAAACAGTAAATATAAAACGAAAATGAAAATCTAACGTACCCTGCATTTTCTTTATCTAGAATTACAGCAGGTGCCAGGTGAGGGAGAAAAATATAAATCATTCAACGAAAAAAAAAACAATATATAAATCCTCCGTGGACATGGACAACATGAAGACTACATGGCCGGCATGAGGCACTCGTGGGCTCGCTGGTGGACTCCCTGGCGATGGGTCTATGGGCTATGCGTTAGTTGATACTCAGCCCAATACACCAAGTAGTCCAAGATATGTTGTCTGACTGACTCACTTTTTTTCTTCTGTCACTTGGACACATGGCTGGAACTCCTCCTCACATTTAATTTACAGCGAACAGATTATTAAAGATGATAAAGAAACTGAAACTGCAATTAATGAAAAGGAAAGCTTTCAGTCAGCTGCATTATTGGACCAATGTAAACTGATTTGACCGACCATCTAAAGCGGTTTTGTTTCTCCAAACAAATTCTTCATTGTTATCACTTAAGATGACAATTTCGACCTGATTCGTTTAATTAACCGACCTATTTGACTTGATTCGAAGTAGGTAATATCCACCCATAAGTGTGCGGAGAGATACATGCCTCATTCTTGACCATTTGAACCTAAATTACATATATTTTTACTCAAATTACTTAAAATATTACTTTTATTATCTCATATATAGTTTAGATATAATGAAAGTGTAAACAAGTTAGAACCTAATTTTTTGAACAATTTAATTACCTGTATCATATTATAGTTTGTTTCTTGGATTTTTATGATAAAGAAAAATATTTCTAATATTTTTCTTTTAAATTACATATTCATATGGGTCAACATGCTCCGACTCGCACCTCAGATAAAATACCCGGCTTTAACCCAACATGCCACAAAACAGATATGAGTAAAATACCTGCCAAAACTGTCCATGGTCGTCATTCATAATCTCACTCTTTTCCTTGCACGCATTATATAAGCACCTAAGAAGAGCACCTAGCTTGATATCATTCATTTCTTAGGTTTCTTCTCTCCATCGAACTCCTCCTCCTCTCTCTCTCTCTCTCTCTCTCTCTCTCTCTCTCTCTCTCTCTCTCTCTCTCTCTCTCTCTCTCTCTCTCTCTCTCTCATGGCGAAGGTATTGGTAAGTCTAGCAGTGGTGGGATTAGCCATATCGCTTTTCTATAGGGTGGTAGCGCAGGATCAGGAGGAGGCCTCCAGTACGCCTTCTTCTTATGTGCCTCTGTTGGTGTTAGGCGATTCGCTAGTGGACAGTGGAAACAACAATTACTTGGACACCACGTTTCGTGCAGACTCGCCTCCTTATGGGATCGATTCTCCCACCGGCCGCTTCTCAAATGGCCGCAACTTCGCCGATTACATCAGTACGTACTTTTAATTAATGTATGCATGAGATGGGATACATATGTGTTATGTTAAAATCGTGTTAAGATAAATATGTTATGGGATTTGGTGCCGCTGCAGGTGAAGTATTGGGGCTGCCAGAGCCCCCATCGCCGCACCTGAGCCCACAATTCCAAGGGGAAAGGCTGCTTTACGGTGCTAATTTCGCTTCCGGCGGAGTTGGGATCTTGAATGACACTGGCAGTGAGCTAGTAAGCTCTCCTCGATCTCTACGCATCTCTCACTTGTTCTCTTTCCTTCCGCGGTTCATTCCGAATAAAATGTTGTTATGAATTCAAGACTGATTATCTAAGGTCGACTGGAGTACACGTGACGTGAATCTCCTCGAATTTTTTGAAATTTGTCTCATTTATCTGTGAATTAACTGACACACTGTATTAGTGAAACGCGTATATTTTTCACAGATTCTCAATCAATTTCCAATTCGTTCCTTCTAACAAATCATTCTGTCTATTTTGGTTTCGTGATGGTACGTGAAGGGGAACATAATAAGGATGCCCGAGCAGCTGGCATCCTTCGAGCGATACCAGGCCCAGCTGGCAGCACTGGTCGGCGGGACGGAACAGGCTCGGCGACTAGTCAACCGGGCAATGGTTCTCCTCGCTCTTGGCACCGAAGATTTCGTCCGCAACTATTTCACGCTCCCTTTCTCGGCACGTGCCAGACAATACACTCCCCGCGGATTCATCGACTACCTGATCTCCGAGTACGTGAAAATCCTGCAGAGGTTGTTCGAGCTAGGGGCACGCCGTGTTCTGGTGGTTGGGCCGGGCCGCATCGGATGCGTGCCGGCTCAGCTGGCGGGGACGGGCCGGGACGAGGACGTCGAGGAGTGCACTTCTGAGATCGAGAATGCTGCATTGCTCTTCAACTCGGAGCTGGCTCGGGCGACTCAGCAGATGAACAGTCAGCTTCAAACCGATGTCTACGTTGCTGCCAATACGTATATGATCAGCTTATTCAGCTCCAACTTCCCTGTTGAGAAACCGGGCAGCAACCACAAGCAAGAATAGAATGCACAAGACACACGATTTTTACGTGGAAAACCCAAATCGGGAAAAACCACGGGACCTTTGTCCAAGCCACAACTCCACTAGACTTTGGTGGGATTACAAGTCCTCTCTAGACTAGCTAGAGGATTACAAACACATCAAGAACACCTTTCTTGGATCAACAATCACCCACAATAGCTCTCACCAACATGGTGGATAACAAGAACAAGAGCAAGACAAAAAAAGGTTGAGAGATACCCAAAAACAGATTCGTACACCTTCTGTCCAGCAGAGATTCCCGACGAACTAGACCTCAGATTGACGATCCCTTCGGTCAGAATGAAGCCCCGACAATTCCGAACCCACTGTCCAAATTTCAGGACGATCCAACGGTTCAATCTTCCAGAACGGTCACTTGAACAGGCTGCCCTGCTGCAGAAACGAAAAACTGCAGCTCTTCCTCTCTTCTCTCTTTTTCCTTATCTCTTCTCTTTTCTTGATTCTCTCTCTACAAATGAAAGGCTGTCAACTCTTTTCACTTTTGAGTAGCAATAACTCTCTATTTTGAAAATAGAGGATCTTCTAGAAACCAACCAAAACTCAAACTCAAACCGGTTAATCCAACCACCATATGAGTTGGACCAACCCAACAAATCTCCCCCTCCAACTCATATGGGGGGTAGCACCAAACCTGCTTCATCTCGACAGAAGATATGTTTTCCACTTGGTAGAGACTTAGTCATCATGTCCGAACCATTGTCATCCGTATGCACTTTGTTGAGCTCCAACAACTTCTCTTCCAAAACATCACGAATCCAATGATATCGAACATCTATGTGCTTCGACCTTGAGTGGAAAGTAGGATTCTTGCAAAGATGGATTGCACTTTGGCTATCACAGTAGAGCACATACCTCTCTTGCTTGATGCCCAACTCTTGAAGAAACTTCTTCAACCATAGCATCTCTTTGCAAGCTTCTGTCACAGCTATGTACTCGGCTTCTGTTGTTGATAATGCAACACATTTTTGCAGTTTAGATTGCCATGAAACTGCAGCACCTGCAAAAGTCATCATGTATCCAGAAGTCGACTTTCTAGAGTCCACATCACCTGCCATGTTAGCATCGGTATATCCATCAAGTATGGTCTTGCCATTACCAAAGCATAGACACACTCTAGAAGTACCTCTCAAGTACCGAAGAATCCACTTCACTGCTGTCCAATGTTCCTTCCCCGGATTGGAAAGAAACCGACTGACAATCCCAACGACATGAGCAATATCCGGTCTTGTGCAAACCATGGCATACATCAAGCTCCCAACAGCTGATGCATAAGACACATTCTTCATTGCTTCTTTCTCTTTCTCACACCTAGGACAATGCTTCGAACTCAATATGAAATGTCCTCCAAGTGGAGTACTAACCGCCTTAGCCTTGCTCATGTTGAACCGCTCAAGAACTCTTTCAATATACCTTTCTTGAGACAACCAAATTTTTCCATTCCTCCGATCCCTAGAGATTCTCATCCCTAGAATTTGTTTCACCGGTCCTAGGTCCTTCATGGCAAAGGATTTACTCAACTCCTTTTTCAATCTATCAATCTCTCCAACATTCCGACCCACGATCAACATGTCATCCACGTAAAGCAAGAGAATGATGAAATCATTTTCAGCAAAGTATTTCACAAACACACAATGATCGGAGGTAGTTCTTGCATACCCGTGGTTGACCATGAATGAGTCAAATTTCTTGTACCATTGCCTTGGTGCTTGCTTCAACCCATATAAGCTCTTTCTCAATCTGCATACAAGGTCTTCTTTGCCTTTAACCTCGAACCCTTCCGGCTGATCCATGTATATTTCTTCCTCTAAGTCACCATGAAGAAACGCCGTCTTCACATCGAGTTGTTCAACTTCCAAGTCCAAACTTGCAGCCAACCCAAACACAACTCGGATAGAAGACATCTTCACCACGGGAGAGAAAATTTCTTCAAAGTCAACACCTTTCTTTTGGTTGAAACCCTTCACAACTAGTCGCGCCCTAAACCGAGGCTTTGAACTAGTTTCCTCCGTCTTTAACTTGTAGACCCACTTGTTCTTAAGTGATCTTTTTCCTTTGGGTAGTTTCACCAAATCATAGGTGTGATTCTCTTGCAAAGACTTCATCTCTTCTTGCATTGCTTTGTTCCACTCCTCCTTGTCTTCATGAGACATGGCTTCTTGATAATATTCGGGTTCTCCCCCGTCAGTCAACAATAGGTACTCATTAGGGGAGTACCAAGTGGAAGCTTTGCGATCTCTTGTTGACTTTCTTGGTTCGGGTAGAGGTTGCTCTTCTTCAACTTGTTCTTCTTGCTCCAATTGCTCTTCTCCTTGCACTTCTTGATCTAGTGCACCTTGGGGCTCATTATGCACTACTTCCTCAACATTTTCATGCATTTGAGATGGAGATATAGGCTCCAAATTAACTGGACCAGCTGCTGTATTTTTCTTCTTTTCACCCCTTTCGATGTCTTCACTTGTCTCATCTTCAAGAAAAATCACATCCTGGCTCCGAACAATTTTCCTTGCAATTGGATCCCATAATCTGTACCGAAACTCTTCACGCCCATAGCCCATGAATATACATGGCTTTGCTTTGTCATCAAGCTTTGCTCTCTCATCTTTCGGAACATGAACATAGGCTTTGCAACCAAACACTCGCAAGTGTTCATATGAGACTTCTTTTCCCGTCCATACTCGTTGAGGCACGTCACCCTCCAAAGGGACCGATGGCGAAAGGTTGATTAGATCAACGGCTGTCCGCATTGCTTCTCCCCAAAATGATTTAGGTAGCTTGGCATGTGAGAGCATACACTTGATTCTCTCACAAATTGTTATGTTCATCCTCTCGGCAACACCGTTTTGTTGTGGAGTCTTGGGTACACTTTTCTGCAGTTTAATTCCGTGCAATCTGCAGTAGCTTTCGAATGGACCTCTATACTCTCCCCCGTTATCAGCCCTTACACACTTCAACTTGAGGCCGGTTTCCCTTTCCACTTCAGCATGAAATTGCTTGAAAACATCTAGCACTTGATCCTTTGTTTTCAAAGCATATGTCCACACCTTCCTTGAGTGATCATCGATGAAGGTAACATAATAGCTTGCACCACCAAGAGTTTTATCTCGCATAAAACAAACATCGGTGTGAATTAGATCAAGTACCTTACTCCTTCTAGAAGGTGGAAATCTATGAAATGCAACTCTGTGAGTTTTTCCGGCTAAGCAATCAACACAAGTTTTAAGAAGAGTACCTTTAGCTCCGGGCAAGAGTTGTTTCTTGGAGAGTATTTGCAGCCCCTTCTCGCTCAAATGACCGAGTCTCTTATGCCAAAGCTCAATAGAAGAATCTTTCTCAGCAACATTGATTCCTCCCTTGCTATGCTTTGCATTTGTCATGTAGAGCGTACTTTCCTTCTTGCCTTTGGCCACCACAAGAGAACCTCTTGAGAGCTTCCATTTTCCTTCTCCAAAATAGTTGGTATAACCATCATCATCAAGTTTTCCCGTGGATATCAAATTCAGCCTCATGTCAGGAACATGTCTCACATCCTTCAAGACTAGCTTGCAACCCGTGTTGGTCTCTAGATGAATATCACCCATGCCAACAATCTTTGATGCGCCATCATTTCCCATCCTCACACAACCATAGTTACCGTTTGTGTAGGAAGAGAAAAGATCAACCCGTGAGGTCACATGGAATGAGGCACCCGAGTCAACAACCCATGTACTCTCTTGACAAGCAAGGTTAACAAAACCGGCATCACAAACAATGACTACATCACCATCTGTGGCAGCAGCAGTAGTATCATCTTTTTCTCGGTTTTTCACACCTTTTCCTCTAGCTTGTTCCCGTTTCAAGATTCTGCACTCTCTCTTCATGTGTCCGGGTTGGTTGCAATGATAACATGTGATTTCTCCTCTTGGTCTTGACAATGATTTTGATCTCCCTTTTGATCTCCCTCGGCTGTTACTTCGATTCTGAGAGTTCTTGAAGTTGGAATTTCGATTTCTGCTTCTTCCACGACTTCCAGAATTATCCGCCACCAAAGCATGTGACTCCGATGTAATCCCCAACTCTTTTCTCCTTGCCTCTTCATTCAGCATGCTATCCTTGACAATGTCCATCGTCAACTTGCCATTAGGTGCTGAGTTGCTAAGTGAGACCACCAAAGTCTCCCAACTATCCGACAAAGAACTGAGAAGTAACAATGCTTGCACTTCATCATCAAGTGCTAACTTCATAGTAGTTAGTTGGTTCACAAGCCCTTGAAAGTCACTCAAATGCTCCGAGACACTATGTCCATCCTTGTACTTCAAGTTCACAATTCTTCGAATGAGTGAGGCTTTATTTTGAGCCGATTGCCTCTCATACATGGACTCCAATTTCTGCCACAATTCATCTGCTCTTGTATCTTTTGCAACATGATGAAAGATGCTTTGGTCAATCCATTGTCGAATGATTGCCACCGCCTTTCTATGCAAGACCTCCCATTGCTTCTCGGTTTTGTCTTCCGGCTTCTCGCTGCCATTTTCAATTGGCTCATAGAGATCCTTGCAAAACAAAATATCCTCTATCCGTGGCTTCCAAATAGAGTAGTTGGATGATGTCAACTTAATCATTGCTCCACTTGAGTCATCCATTCTTGCCATTCACCAAACACAACCCCCAAACAACCTAATGCTCTGATACCACTGTTGAGAAACCGGGCAGCAACCACAAGCAAGAATAGAATGCACAAGACACACGATTTTTACGTGGAAAACCCAAATCGGGAAAAACCACGGGACCTTTGTCCAAGCCACAACTCCACTAGACTTTGGTGGGATTACAAGTCCTCTCTAGACTAGCTAGAGGATTACAAACACATCAAGAACACCTTTCTTGGATCAACAATCACCCACAATAGCTCTCACCAACATGGTGGATAACAAGAACAAGAGCAAGACAAAGAAAGGTTGAGAGATACCCAAAAACAGATTCGTACACCTTCTGTCCAGCAGAGATTCCCGACGAACTAGACCTCAGATTGACGATCCCTTCGGTCAGAATGAAGCCCCGACAATTCCGAACCCACTGTCCAAATTTCAGGACGATCCAACGGTTCAATCTTCCAGAACGGTCACTTGAACAGGCTGCCCTGCTGCAGAAACGAAAAACTGCAGCTCTTCCTCTCTTCTCTCTTTTTCCTTATCTCTTCTCTTTTCTTGATTCTCTCTCTACAAATGAAAGGCTGTCAACTCTTTTCACTTTTGAGTAGCAATAACTCTCTATTTTGAAAATAGAGGATCTTCTAGAAACCAACCAAAACTCAAACTCAAACCGGTTAATCCAACCACCATATGAGTTGGACCAACCCAACATTCCCCAACAATCCCGATGCTTACGGTACGCGATTTATTTTTGTTAATGTATAGTTAGTTATATCTTGTCACATATTATGTAGACGAATAAAACAATGTTATTTTATATGATGAGATGACTATGTTGGCTAGGGTTCACCGAATGGAGAGTGGCCTGTTGCGGGCAAGGTCCTTATAACGGAGAAGGACAATGCACACCGGCATCGAATCTGTGCCCAAATCGGGATGAATATGTGTTTTGGGATTCCTACCATCCCACGGAGAGGGCTATTGCGACAATTCTCGAGTTCATCTTGGACGGACCTCCAGAGTTTATGTCACCAATGAACCTCAACACCATGCTGGCTTTGAACAACGAGACTTAAGTTCTCAAATCTGGGCTTCTACGTATAAGTTTGTACTTCCCGCTGTGTCGTTTGGTCGGATATGTACCTATGAGTCATGACTATATATGTGGGCAATGATGAAGTTCGTATTATGTGGCATTTTGAGTTTATGCGGAGAGCCGGAGACTGTTGGCTTATTTTATTTTATTTTATTTTATTTTATTTTATTATAAGAGGTTTGGATTTCATACAATTTTTACATTATGTTTTTTTCCCGATGAATGCGTAAATTTCTAAGAAGCCACCGACCAAACTGATTGGCAGTGAAAAGAAACAAACCAGAAACAATCCCACTTTGTACATTAGCAAACTAAAAGAACAAGACTAAGATCAACGGCTAAATCAGGATTGTAATACCTCGACCAATGATCAAGATATTGTTTGGAATTACCCTGAATGGTTTTTCTTAAGAGTGTATTATGGTGACTTTCTGAAAAGTCAACGTAACCATCTTTACATTACTGCACGTCCGTACGTGCATTTAACTTCAAAGCTCTTACACTAACTGTTGATCTAACTAAAATCGGACTATCAATCGCTATAACTGAAAGTTACGGTGGTCTCGCTGGGCCTGGTCTGTAACTACTTTTCCTTTACCAAATTGGATTAGAATTGGACCTAGGAGAAGTACTATAAATATTTATCATACTCCTCTGTAATCTGTATCTCTTCGAAATATCGTGAAACTGGCTCTCTCCTGCCCGTGGACTAGCTAACACACATTGTGTTAGTGGACCACGTAAATCGTGTGTCGTGTGTGTACGCTTTCGTTTCTTGCGTTGTCGAATCCTCCTATTTTCCGATCCGCAGAAAATAGTTGTGACATTAACTCTTTCATTTCACCCAGAATAGCTCTTTTAGTTAAGGGTTAATATATAGTATTTTGTATCCCTCTATTATTATAAGTTAACAAACGTACCACTCTATTACATATTTGCACAAACAGACCCTTGTAATTTAAAACATAAAAAATTTACCCTTCAGACTAATTATCAGTTAAGTGGCCGTTAAATGGATTGGAAAATGACCCAATTTCCCTTCCTTTACTCATAATTGTAGTTTTAATTATTTATGTCCCAAATGAATAAATTAATAAAAAGAACAACCCAATGTAGCAACCATAACAACAACTAAAGCTCTCTTCTTCCTCTTTCCCAAGAGGAATTGAAGAATCCCCCAAACAGCGGTCGCTCCCTTCGCCAGAAGTTCACCATACTGGCCCCTCTCTACGTCCCCTCCGCCGCCACCCACTCTTTTGACCCACAATTTAAGACCACCTCGAAGCTCCTCCGCGTGCTCAAGCTTTACGAGGTCCGCACTTCGGGCACTCTTCATCCCCGCCACCCACGACCTTGTAAAACTTGAGCACGGGGAGCTTCTCCTTGTCCTTGTCCTTCTTCTCCTTCTTGGGCGTGCTGAACACCTTCTTCTTCCTCTTCTTCCTCTTCTTCCCTCCGCCTCAGCTGAGGAGCCGTGGAAGGAGATCGACTATCGCGAATAGGTTCCGGATTCAGCACTCGACTAGGGTTCGGTTGTCCTCATCGAGTAGCTTGCCGCCGTGGATCAAATGGTAGTACTTTTCGTTGATATAGTTGTAGGGGTGGGCATCCGGTTCGGTAAACCTGAACCGAACCGGACCAAAATCGAGCAAAACTGAACTGAACCCGAAATTGTATTGTTCGGTTCGGAATTCGGAAGCGAAATGTGGTTGTTTCATAAACCATCGAAGATCCGAATTCCGAAACGAAAAATCGAAATTTGCCCATAATAGCCCAACTCTAAGCCACTCTGTTACCCATAGCTCACTGAAACCCGAGCCCAGCCAATACAAAACCTAGGCCCACAATGCCCAAACCCCCATCTCGTCCCACCTCACACAGCGCCCACAGTTCTCGCCCACAACCCTAGCCCAGCCCAATGAAACCCTAGACAAAATTCATCTCGTCCCACCTCAAATCTCACACAGCAGCCGCCACGACGGAAGAGGAGAGGAGCAAAGAGCATGCAGAGAGGGAAGTTCGAGATCGGGAGAGAGTGGAGAGGCCAGAGCCGGAGAGAGGGATTGGTGGCGTCCGTCTTCTCTCGATTCTTCCGAGAGCGAGAGACAAAGAGGAGGCGGAGGAGGGAGGTAGTGGCGGCAGCAGGATACAGGCGGAGCGAGCATAGATTGGTCGGAGCCGGAGAGATCTTTAGTCGTAGGATCTGAAGGCGAAGGGAAGGTAGAAGCCGGGGCGAGAAGGTGAAGGAGAAGAAGATGATGCTTCTGGGGTGGCGATTTCCCATGACTGATGCTGGTACCGGAGAGGGGAGAAGGAATAGTTGGAGGTAGTCGGCGGCGTGCGATAGAGGGGAAGAGAAGAGTGAGAAGGAGAGGGGGAAATCAGGATTGGAAGAGAGAGGGCTAAATAAATGGTTGTGTTTTTTGAGGCTTTTGACTCAGAACATAAGGGGGTGTAAATTCGAGTTGGCCTGAAAATCGATTCCGAACCGAATATATTTCGGTTCGACCAATCCGAACCAAAATAAATTTCGGTTCGAAATTGGTTTGAATTTTTTGCGAATCGGGGACCCAGAATGCTCCTGTTCGATTTGGTTTTAACCAAACCGAACCGATGCCCACCCCTATCTAGTTGTATTAGTTATTTTATTTTTACAAAAAGTCCTGTCAGAATGATGAATTTTGGGCCTTCTCATGAAATGGACCTGAACTGTGTCGGGTTAGAAAGAAGAAGATCTGAACCTCGTTTCAGCCCAGGAATAAAAAAAATGGGTGTTGGGCTACCCCATGGGCTTTAAGACGCAGTCCAAACTGACACAGTTTTGGTTATAAATAACCTAGACGATTGTAGCTGAAGGAACCAGTTCTCGGCAGACAATTCTCCTTCCCATCCCAGTTCCCACCTTAAAATCTCGCCGCTTGGGTTCTTATCCAGCCAAGGTCTCCGTGGCCGTTTTGCTTTCTTTCCTGCCCTTTCAAACCCTGATGCAGTCCAGTTGCCATGATCAGAAGCTATTTACAGCTTCTGTGTTGCTGTGATTTGCAGCTGGACTGGTTGTTAATTGTGGTTAAGAGGTCGCTATTTCAAATAGTTTTCTTTGTGTCATAAAGGATGGAATGGCGTGATGAACGAACATATGTTTCCCTATTGGTTTGATCGCCGTGATGATGGCTTCTCACGAACTAGATCTGATCCATTCTACTCTTTTCATGCCTGGTTTCCTGCTCTGCTTTTAAAATTCTTCTCTTAAATCTGTTTAATTACCCTTTACTGATTAAATATCTTTAAAATGAGATTCTTTGTTTGCTGGGAGATGGAAGTGAGGAACTATTATTTGCCTTTTGGTTTGAATGCCTTGATGATGGCTGACCTTTGTATTAGCTCTATCTGATCATATCTCCCAGCAAATTGTCTCTCTGTTTTTGTGTTACTTTCGTCGAACCAGTAGAGCCTTGATTTTTGTAGAAACAAACGGTTCTAGCTGCTGTTGTTTTGACCCGTGATATCCCGGTGACGATGAAAATTTAGTAATCTGAAAATGTACATGAATGAGCTGGTGGAATCTGAAAATTTAGTAATCTAGTTTCATGTACCGGGTGGAAACTAGGCGAAAAGCGGATTATTTCCCAGTAAAAATTAAAAGTAATTTCCATAATACATTATCTTTATAAATATTTCCCAAACTACCAAAATTTGAACCGGTTCTAGTTTAATAAAATCAAACTAGTACCAGATCGATTGCCAAGGGATCTTTCCACATGCATCGAGCGAAACAGTCACGATTGGCTGGCACATGACGACGCGGATCGAGTTTATTAAACTCGTTTTACATAGATCGAGTATAGAGGACTCGAACTAGGTGACATGGATCGATGACATAGGCAGCGCTCCACCCTAGATCGAGGTACAGGGGATCGATCTACAACGTTCGATGGCCACATCCGCGATGAAGTGGTAACGCGGATCGAGTGGGCGGAACTCGATACAAGTCGATCGAGCGCTTGGTAATCGATTTGCTTGACGCGGATCGATGACGTCAGACTCGCTCTGCCGTAGATCGAGTTCTCCAAACTCGGTCTTGGTCGTTCGATCTGCTTTTGACGTGGATCGAAGGCTGCAAAAACGATGTTGTAGTTTTAGTCCCCTAAACTCGATCCACCTCCTCCCACTGCACCTATAAATACCCCCTTCCATTCCACCAAATTTCACACCACTCCATTCTTCTTCCTCTCTTCCTTCCACCACTCTTGAAGAAAAAAAATATGCTCTGTGGTTGCGGCTAAGTCCGAAATTTCGCATCATATTTTTTTTCTTTAGTTTGGTACTTCTATCACTCAAAATTGTCGAGATGGGTCCGAGTATTTACGATCCTAGATTATACATTCAAGGCGAACCACGAGAAACCGATTTGTTGGATGAGCAACCTTACCATCGGTCTGAAAGTGTTTGGGCAGCAGACCCGGTAAGCACTTGCTCATGTACTTTTCTTTTTTAAATGTGATAGTATTCTTCTAAGTTTTTTATAATAATTAATTTTTTTTACAGGAACAACTTGACGTAATCACCCATCGCTCACTATCTCGCTTGCCTAAATGGGATGATCGTATCGAACCCTTCATTGAAAGAGCGTGATTGCTGAGGGTGCAAAAGTTTGTGGGGATGAAGATGGACAACAACCTTCTCACGGCAATGGTGGAAAGATGGAGAAAAGAAACGCACACATTCCACCTCCTAGGGGGAGAGATGACGATTACGTTGAAGGATGTAGCCATGCTGACAGAGCTTCCAATCGATGGTGATGCAATAATAGAAAGTTCACAGAAACCATTGAATGGCTGGGGCCAATTTATAAGCGAGCGTTTAGGTATCAACATCCCCGAGGAAGCACCAGAAGGTCGTCGTATACCACCTCTACACAAGTCTATGCTATTGATACCTTGGCTAGTGAGGACCGCTGGAGAATTACCGGAGGATGCCACGGATACTCAGATAGAGAGGTATGCTCGCATCTACCTGATTTGTTTGGTTGGAGGATTTTTTTTTTCCGAATAAGTCTGGTGGAAATATGCATTGTATGTGGCTTCGAGTTCTTTTGGAAGATTGGGACGAGATTGGGAGAAAAAGTTGGGGATCTGCTTGTTTGGCGATGATATATTCGGAATTGTGCAAGTGTACGGATCTGAAAACAAAGCAAGCGGGTGGATTGGATCTGCCCTTCCTACATTCGCTTCGATCTGCCCTGCCAACAGTTGGGGTCCCGAAGAGCCACTACGACAATGGGATTATGGTGCAAGATGGATTGGAGCTATCACGAGACTCACCTCTCTAGACGGGTACCGGCAACATCTTGACCGTATAGAATTCAACGAGGTAACATTCTAGCTTATGATTATGAATGCTAATTTATTTGTTGAAATTATTTGTCTTAGCCCATGATTTATTTTTATGATTATGAATCCTATTTTATTTGTTGAAATTATTTTTATTAGCCCATGATTTATTTTTATGATTATGAATGCTAATTTATTTGTTGAAATTATTTGTCTTAGTGTTAGCCTATGATTTATTTTTATGATTACGAATTCTATTTTTTTGTTGAAATTATTTGTCTTAGCCCATGATTTATTTTTATGATTACGAATTCTATTTTATTTTAATTTATATGTTGTGTTGAAACTTTGGTGGAGTGGGATCCGTATCCGAACGGAGCAAAGGATTTGTACGAGTTGCGATATCCTGAGGATCGTCGACTCTGGTCGTGCAAGTTGCCTGTGATTTGCCACAACATTGTCGAGTGGCACCTCCCGGATAGATGTGTCCGACAATATAATTGGGCGCAACCGATTCCTCTCCCACCACCGGACGTACATAAGTCACTCCACAAGTACAACAAGGATCTGCGGGGTACAATCAGTGATTGGCCAACCAAGCACCATAGATGGATTGAAATGTGGGTCAGACGTATGCAATTGATGGGATCCCAATGACGAGGCCAATGGGGGTACCAAGATGAATACATGGTTTGGTACCGCAAGTTCACAAAAAGATGAGTAACCAAACGTGGCGCCGTGATTGGTTCGTTGGTAAGCGCAATATCTATTTACTATAATCACTTTAGCTACACAAAGAGTGTTTGACTAACATGTTTATTATTTAGGTTGATGGGTTGGAACTTGCATCAATGACGTTGGAGAGTGAACCAGAACAAAATGTGTCACATGAGAAAATTTCATTCTTGAAGAAGCTCTTCAAGAATCTCTTGTCATGTTCGCGGGGAATCCGAAGGGATCTCATCGAATATCCTCCTGCACCTGCACCGCCACGTCCTTCCTCCCGCGCCATTGACGTTGAATCCCTCCCGCCATCACCACAAGGAGGAGTAAACGTGGGCAAGAGCCAGTTACAGTCCTTGTGCAAGTACGAGAAGATGTGACACTTCCTGACCCATACGAGTATGGATTCTCCCCCGTCAGAAGGGAATTCGGAGAGGGATCATCAGGTCCTGCTCAAGGAGGGGGAGGAGGAGCCAACTATGCTCCCTTGTATGGTCCTTAATTCCAACCCCCGCAGCAAAGCTTCCAGCCTCCGATGACAAATGTTTATTATGGTCCTCCAGCCACTGCAACCCCACCTCCATTGCCACGAAATACTGGAATTGGATATGGAGTTTGTTCAAGGAATAGACGTCGAAGAGAGGGACGCGGACGTGGTGCACAAGAGTGAGGTGTTCTTTAGAGTTGTTAAGTTGTTCTATTTCTTTAGAGTTGTTAAGTTGTTCTATTTCTAATGACGTTGTTAAGTTGTTCTATTTCTTTAGAGTTGTTAAGATGTTTTATTTGTAATGACGTTGTTAAGGTGTTCTATTTCCAATGACGTTGTTAAGTTGTTCTATTTCTCTAGAGTTGTTAAGTTTTTTTATTTCACAATATAAAATTCAAATTACAACATAAAATTCTTAAATCACAACATAAAATTCAAATTACAACATAAAGTTCTTAAATCACAACATAAAATTCAAGGGCAACCAATAATTTTACCCCTTCACCCTATTCTGGAGCATGTCGGACCGAAAGCGACTAGATAGAATGATTGAGCAGTGGTTCGAGTCCAGTGTAATCGAACTACAATAGTTCGAGTCCCTAGAACTCGATCTATGACAACAAAGAATCTTATCCCTGCAACCCTATCCTGAAGCATGTCGGGGGAAAGTGACTTTGTATAATTGACCAGTGGTTCGAGGCCATAGGAATCGATTAATGTTGTTCGAGTTTTAAGGCATCGATCATGTGCAGATATGGATCGAGGCTTCTAAAGTTGTTATAATTGATCGAGTTTGTTGGCATCGATCTTACTGGATCGAGTTATCTAAAGTCGGTCTATTATGATCGAGTCCTTTGTCGTCGATCTACCTTGATCGATTTTTCCAAAATCGAACTATTGTTGATCGAGTTTTAGGAACTCGATGTGGTCATAATTCGAGTTCTTCATCGTCTAACTAGCTAGTTGTTCGAGTTTATGGGACTCGGACCCTTTGAAACTTGGGTAGTTTGAGAAAATTTTATCAATCTTATGTATTATGGGAGTTATGTTTAATTTTTACTGTATTCTACGAATTCTTCCGCGAAAAGCCGAGGGATGTCAAGGCAATCAAACTATTATTTGCCTTTTGGTTCCTCCGCCACCTATCAATGAAAGCACTATAGAGTAGGGAATAGACTAGAGAGAAGTTGAGAGAGAAGAGGACTTTATTCTATTATTAGTTTTGGAAAGGATTTATATATATCAAGTTCTATATATATATATATATATATATATATATATATATATATATATATATATATATATATATATATATATATATATATATATATGGGGAGTTCAACGGTACCCAGGGTGAAATCCGGGGTACCGCATACCTTGAGTAAGAAAACGCTATCTAGAACTTGAATTGACTGATCTTTTGGACATGATACTATACTCTAACCCTTAAAGATCAAAATCTAGGTCTTAATTCTCTAAATCTTATACCCCAAGATCAATTTAACTGGAAACAATAATGACAGTTATGATTCGTCCAAATATAGGGGGGGGGGGAAAATTAATGCACCATCTTAGGGTTTATAATTTCTGATTTAGATAATTAGGACCTAGTTCATTCATTAAGGATTAGGATATAGTATCATGCCCAAAAATCCTGCTAATTCGATGTCTAGATAGCGTTTTCATACTGAAGGTATGCGGTTAAAGAAACGTGAACGTTATGGAGTTACTAACTTTGACGAGGTAAACTCGTTTGGTTGTTACACTTAATATGCCCCCGGAAGATGAAGTCACCGTAGGAGATGCCAATCTTGGGACGGAGAGAATGGAAACACACCTTGGAGAGTGGCTTGGTGAGTAGGTTGGCTAGTTGACATGAGGAGGGTAGGTGTCGAACTGTGAGTTGACCTTTTTCCACACGATCACGTACAAAATGATAATCTACAGCCATGTGTTTCATCAGGGAATGGAAGACTGGGTTGAGCTGAGATAAGTGGCGCCAAGGTTGTCTCATAGGAGGACTGGTGCAACGGTTGAACACATGTGAAGCTCAGGCAGGAGAGAGCAGTGCCAAGCCAGTTCAGCTGCGGCAGCCGCAATGGCTTTGTACTCTGCCTCGGTGGAGCTACGAGCTATGGTTTTATGTTTCTTGGATGCCCATGACACCAGAGTGGAACCAAGATAAACAATGTAAGCTGTGGTGGATGAACGATCGTCCAATTTACCCGCCCAATTAGCATCGGAGAAAGCCCGAAGATGAAGTCGTGCCGCCGGGAAGAAGGAAATTCCATAGTTGAGGGTGCCCTTTAAATATCGGAGGACATGCTCGACAGCCTGCCAGTGAGCCTCTCTAGCACGGTGCATGAATTGAGACAAACGGTTGACGGCGTAGTTGATGTCTAGAGGAGGGAAATAGAGATACTGAATGCATCCGAGGATGCTTCGATAGGTGGGGTCGTCAGTTGAAGTTGATCCATCATCCAATCGTAATGGAGAGGTGGACGATAAAGGAGTGGAGTTGGGCTTGGCCTCCAACATGGATGACCAGTCCAGGAGATCAGTCATGTACTTGTGCTGAGTGAGGTGGGCACCAACAGGGATGCGAACAAACTTGAGCCGAGAAAGTAGTTTAGATCCCCCAATTACTTGAGAGAGAATCAAGCAGCCAACCGTTGTATAAACGTGTTGACCGTAGTGGGCGATGAGCCGGTGATGACAATGTCGTCAACATAGACCAGGATATAGATGGTGACGGTAGATTGTTGTAGGAGGAACAACGAGACGTCAGACTTCACTTGGTGGAAGCCTGAATGAAGGAGGAAGTCACAAAGAGCATGATACCAAGCACTAGGTGCTTGCTTCAGACCGTAGGGAGAACGGTGTAACCTGCATACAAAGGACGGGTTAGCGGAATCAACATGCCCCAGAGCAACAACAATGGCGAGTATGACACGGATAGTGGCCGACTTCACTACCGGGCTATAAGTGGCATGCTAGTAGAGGCCAGGACGTTGATGGAACCCTTTGGAAACCAGAAGAGCTTTGTATTGTGCAATGTAGTCGTCGGCGTTACGCTTGATGCAGAAGATCCATCTGCAACCAACGACATGAGCATGTTCTGGACGGGAAGTCAATGTCCAAGTCCCATTAAGACCAAGTGCTCGTAGCTCTTCCTGCTTGGCTTGAAACCAACGAGGATCGCGGAGTGCCTGTCTCACTCTGGTGGGTTCTACGCAAAGTCCTACTCTCGGTCCAACTCTTAGCCCTATGCCTTCTCCTCCCAACCCACCATCAAATTCACATATCCCAATTACACAACCATCCACAATTACACAACCATCAAGATGTGAGGGAGCTAGAAGATGGGGTAAGAGAAGCAAACGGGAAATGGAGTTCATCGAAAGCAACATGACGGGAGTGATAGACTCGACCAGAACGAGGCTCAAGGCAGAGGTAAGCATTTTTGTCGAACTTTAACCTAAGAGGATACATGGTTGGGACCGTGGGGAAAT